TACCAAGGAGTTGTAGTCGGGAAGGAAGCCCCACGATTCCCCGAAATTCTTGAAATGGCTCAGCGGGTTTTTCCGCCAAAAGCCTTCTGCAAGTTTCTGTCCATAGTGGAATTCGGTCACCCTGCCGATGTCCAGGTAGTCCCAAGCCGAGACAGCTTCTGATGATGAACGGTCGATTACCTCCTGGACAAAGAAGGGCCGGGCGTTGCTCAGAAACCCGAAGTTTGTGTTGAGATTCTTCAGCTTGCTGTAGATTGCCTTGAGGTCGCCCGGCCACATGTGTTTGGCAGCATCCACCCGGAAGCCGGCCACGCCCATGTCGATCAAATTGTTCAGGTACTCGGCAATCTTGTTCCGGACGTAGTCTTTCTTCTGGTAGAGGTCCTTCAGGCCTTTAACGTCGCAGTTGCGAATAGAGTCTTTGTCTTGGTAGTTGATTTCTCCCACAGTCGGGCATCTACCTTGCGGCCAGTTGAAATCCAAGCTCGAGTAGGGCACTCTCCTGAAATCATAATCTGTGGAAGCAGAAAAAGGGAAAAAGACGATTTTTGATTCAACTCGTGTGCGTACTCATCCGGCAACGGCAGCTTGGTTGCTCGAAGCCTCTACCTCACTTGATGCTTGAGACTTTGAAAGTGGCGTAAAGGTCTACTAGAAACTGGGGGTCGTGGAATGGGGAATAGAGGGAGGTAAGGTAAATAAAAATATTGCCCGGCCATGCAAATTATGACACCATTATGACACAAGGGTGCTCTGTTCATGATACAGTGTACATCATTGATATGTATGCCCCGAACCTTACGGGTGCACCCCCGTAAATAGGCCAGAAATGTGCCCGTCGAGCTCATTAATAAAAGTTGTACACTCAAAATTTTCTATGTTAGAGCGTCCTGAGAACCATGATATTGGGGAACTGAAAAAATATGACATTCAGAACCTCTGGCCGGGACTCAGGGCTTGTAATTCTGAGTAATTCGGATGCAATCGGGTCCGAAAGTGGCACTATTTAGCCATTGGTCAACCCACTCAAAATTGAAAGGAAAATAAAAGAGGACATGTTGCAATGATGTGCAACAAAACTCCTCAATATCTGCCCTAATTTATATTCTTATCACGAAAACGTGGCTGATGGGATGAATCCATAACCCATTCCCGGCCAAAAGCGGCAGGGGAGGAGGGTTAGTGCGGTTTTCATATCTGGAATCTAAAGTGTGTGTGAGTGTTGTGATTGCTGAGCATATAAATGCTCAGTCTTGGAGCGAAGCTGTACACATCATATACTTTTCTACTTTAATAGGGATCGTGCTTTTGACTTATGGTAACCAGGTATGAAAAACGACAATTTCGACAAGTTTAAGTTATATGCATAAGCCTACCATATCTAGGAATTCAACGAGCATGGCTGATTTTCAAATGTTACACTGGATATCAGCCAGACGAACGTCCCCCCACCGAATGGGTGACGTTGTAAAATGACATGAAATACCTTGGACTGTGAACATTGTGATAACCGTTGCACAAAATAATTAAAGGTTTTTAAATTTTGACGGCGTGGTTGACTGACAGCTGACCACTGGCTGACCGCTGGAAACCCACCGGTCCACCTGATCATGCTCTAAACCATACTCTTTTGGACTACTCCCACAAGGAATATACCATAAAATGGACGGGGGTGGCCACGAATATGAAATTAAATTCTTGAACAAAAGCCTTTTATTTACCGTTTATTGACTTCTTTGACTCTCTGAATAAAACGGCATTTATGAATAGGAATAAATATGTGCTTGGTCGGTTGGTCTTAAACGTTAGCTAGTTTTAGTCAGAAAATGACCGTTGATAATAATGAATAAACGCTGAAAATGCCCTTGCCTGCGGCTCGGGCATTAGTCGCATCAATTCTCCTGACCCGCTCTGAAACACACTTATGTTTTAAAGGCCAATCATATATTTATTCTCTTAATTAAAATAGTCTCTCTTTCCACTTGTAGCAATCAGTCAGTTTCCTTATTAGGAACCTGAAAGACAAGAGACACCCTCACTGTGAAAGTAACACAATTGTTTTAAAATACTCACCACCGTTTCCATCGGGATTGCTGGCCGCCATGTGGTTAATAACGGCATCCACGTAGATGCGAACGCCAACCTTGTAGCACCGGCTCACCATATCCTTAAACTCGGCTTCGTTACCGCTCCGTGAGGTGAGTCCATACCTGATGGGTTGGTACCGCTCGTACCACGGGCGCACCGGGTTCAAGATGATGTGTTCGTTAGGAGAGGACACCTGAACTCCCGCAAATCCATGAGGTCCTAACCAGCTGAAGATATGAAGAGATATTCACGTAATGAGTACAATATAACAGGATTGTTAAAGTAATTTTAGGTCCATACAAAAGTAAATAACACCCTTTTCAAAAATAACATGCTTTCTTGGAGATTGACTCTAATGGACAATTTTAAAACTAAAGCTATTTGAAATTTGTATGATTTTTACGATGCAGAGGCTTTTAATTTTCTTTAAAGTGTAATCAAGGAAACATCCGGCTGACATTTGACAAACTTTTGTATGGTGCCATCTCTCATTTATTCTCAAACGCACTAACGGTACTCTAGAGTTGATATGTTGAGTTTTACATACTCACCCTAACTCTCATCATCTAGTGACTATAGTGACTTATAGGACTATAAGACCCTTTTGGTATTGCAACCCGAAAAAGAACGAAACCTTCAGCTGAATATTTTCATTGCAAAAGTCATTAATTTTAACTTGTTTAGCTTCCAATGAGCCGTCAAAAGAAAAAAGTTCGAATGTCTTGCTCTCGATACCGACTGTATTAATGTACATGTGTATCAATATCGTTGTAGACTATATCAGTAAAATCGTTGGAAGTAGTACAGTGCAAAGTAAGTATTTCCAACATTTGAAACCAAAATACAGTTTCCTACGAAAATAAAATCGTCAACTGGAAGAACTAAAATCTTCATCACTCATTTTAACGGTGGAGTTTCCTGTTTGAAATGCATTTCATTTCACCATCTGACATTATTTGATAAAGGCTTTCATTAAGTGTGCCTCTTGCTGATTATCTCTTGAAACTTTGGAAACGCGAAATTCAGTCGTCTTCCATAATGCAGGGTTCTTCAAACGATGTGACAGCACTCTCTGAAGCCGAAAGTGTGAAACAATACGCATTTTTTACGTGTCCACCACCCTCAATGTGATTGAAATAGTTTGAAAAGAATCTCCTCTATTTAAAAGTTAAGTGAAATCTGGATCTCATTTTCAATTGGTACACCGGCGTAACAAGTGTTAAGTCCGCTGCACTCAACCTCTTTGGTTCTAGCGGTTGACTAGCCTCGTTCAAGACGTCGGAAAATAGTGCACGATGACCACTGGCCGGTCGCTAAAGCCTTGGTCATAACGATTTTGGCCAGGAAAGCCCCCATTTAACCGTGGACGTGTATCTTGTGATGTGTTGGGAATATCGGTATCGATTACTGACGGGTATTCTACCGTGACGATTACGGACAGACGGTATAATACGATTACGATGTGTACGGTTCCAGTCCACTAAAATCAGGAATACTCTTAAATTAAGTAAAGACGATATACAAACCGACGATCTAGTCCGATGTGGACGGTTCTAGTCCACTAGAATCAGGAATTCTCTATGGCAATAAACAATTACATATTATTCACTCTTCACTGGCAATTTATTGAGATTTTTCACCTGCATTATATATTCCCAGCAAAACATCTAGAAATTTAGTACCATCTAGGAAATTTGTACTAAATCGTCATAACAAAAATTAACCAAGGAAGGTCATGCCTCTCTGTATAATGATAACCGTGAGAATATCTCAGACTGAATTATAAAATAGACTACATTTCCACTCCTTTTCAAAAGAAACTTTGCTGTGCCACGATAGTTATAACATGCGCCTCTAGACCACATATCTGTATATACCATTTGCCAAGTTTCAGCAAGACTTTTAAAAAGTTTTGGTCAAAATTGTGACAGCATGACCTACAATCCTGGACAAATCTCATTAGAACATGGCTCCCCCTTTGGCCCCTGTCAATGTTATTTTTCATTGGGTAAGTTGAGCCGAATCTTGGTCCGACAGAAGACCGCAACATTGAATGGGGAAGAGGGGATCTTTTCACCACGCTTTCCACAAGGCGTTCCAACTACATGTATTTTGTCCCGCCATCAATCTTCTAACACGGCAAAGCAAGCAAACCGGTAAAGCAGGGATGGTGTGCAGCGGGCGTTTAATAAAAATGGAAGACTACAGAAAAACGAAGTTCTTACATTTCGCACTCCTTGGCGATATCTGTCCATTTCCAATTGAACAGGTGCACGATGACCTGCCTATCGTGCATGGTGTAGGCGTCCCACTGGGCAACGGCCACACCCAGAAATAGGCAAAAGAGCCAAATGATAGCCATCTGAATACAGAAATAATTGGTCACACATTAAATGCGCACAAAGAGAAACGCAAGAACACATTCTTCTCTCATAGGCCCACAACGTATTGTTGACCTTTGTAAATTGACACAAACGGAGCATTGTTTTTGTGGAACACGTTTGAAAACCGTTTTCGAAAACCCAAAACGAGCATAACTTCTAAAGATCCCATTTTCCAAATGCACGATATTAGGATGTGTTTCTCTTAAGACCACTTATGTCAATATATACATCAGATCTTATTCACCCTTTGGAAAAGCTGACCGGACAACCAGTGAATGAAATAACTGCATCTTTCCTAAGGGATCTATAACAAAACACAAGCCTTGAAACTTCTCAATTGCAACTACGTTACCTTCCTGTATGTTGCTAATGTTCAGATCTAGTATCGACAGACGATATGAAACCTGTTCAGCTCACGGTGGTTTTTGTAGATAATTTCACCCTCGAAAACAGCCGTCAGGGAGCAAGGGACACTCAATCTCTATCGCTGATTGACATGAAGAGAGACCACTTTCTGCCAGCCCTAAATGCTTCACAGCATCACACTTTCCCTTCGCCTACATACAAGTTCAGGGAGATCTGGGCTACTTATTTCCGAATCATTTGCATATGATGATGCTTTCAAAGAACAGAATGGTAGTGTAGCAGAGCGAAGTACCTTTAAGAGAAGAAAAATGCGCCTGAGGAGGGTGAGAATTTTTGGAATAAGCTGCCATTTAGCTTAAAAATAGATGGGGTAAATTCCTCGATGAAAGTTCCCGTTCGGGTACGCCTTGAAGTGTATTATCCTCCAAATCATTATTCAAAAGGCAGTGAACAAAGTCCCAAAACCGCCCCTGACACATTTCTCAGCGGATCCTTTGCCATAACTTTGTGAAAAATTGGGAATGACTTTAATGTGTGGGACACAACAGAGGGCAAGTGTTTGCTCAAGACGCCTTTTCCTTTTGGGAAAAAAACTGTTTCTTCCACACATTCAGGTTCAACATCCAAAGGTGGGAACAGGGGACAAAACAGGCATTTGATAATCCTTCCGACAATGCTTTCAGGTTGGTCCTGCGAGTGGCACTGCACTGTGTATCATGTTCCAACGGACTCTACATTTTTATGTCTGGTAGGCAGTTTGTATGGAATTCCATATCTGCCGTCGCCCGTCGTGCGTCGCCCGTCGTGCGTCGCCCGTCGTGCGTCGCCCGTCTTGCGTCGTGCTGTGTTTGTCCTTTCTTCTTGAGTGCTTTGAAATACATTTCGGTTTGGGGGAAGTCCGAAAACCTCTTCAAAATTCGCCCCAATTTTTCTCACCACAAAAAGTGTGTGTAGGGGGACGATACAATAGCCCCCCCCAAGTGGAGGAGATATATGCTCTGATCTCCTCAGAACTCACGCTCATGAACAAGAATTTTTCAATTCTTGAAACCTTCGCTGTGCAAATGATCAAAAAATCATTAGCCTAAATCTTGCTGTGCTAGTTTGTCGGCGGCGATGGGAAAGTGTAACATAGACCATTTAGGTCCGATGTGATGCACCATTTCTGCATGTACGGGACAAATATCGCCAGTGAGTGCGAAAAGTTGTGGTAGATATTTTCCCTCAAGATTTAATACGATGGTTAAAAATGAAAAAAAAATGAAAAAGGGACTTGTGGAAGTGGACATAATCCGTCTCCGTTGCTGTTAGGCTAAAAGCAATGTGTGTCATTTATATGCACCGATGACTCCCATTTCATCCCACCGTGCACTGCGATAAACATTGTTACGGCATCACTGTTAACATATGTAGCAGTGTTTTGTGCACGAACATATAAGGAATGGATAATCCGACTCCGTTTCAGTAATTGCTAGGGTAATCCCATGATTGACACCCCTCTCAAAAGGTAGCTGGGGGAAAGTTAGGAGAAGTCACGGGAGTTCGATCAGATGATGCATGGGAGACGGTAGAACAATCTGATCACGTGATTTCTGAGGTTGCTTTGCACGACGTCCCTTGCGAGAGGGTTTTATGTTATTCCTGTCCATTAATTTATGGGTACACAGGGGGATAAAGTCTACTCGCCGAACGATAATTTTATCGCGGGTCTTGTGGTTTTGGTATAGAAACCGGTGGGAAAAATGTGCATGTTGCGGCAGCAAAGTGGTTTCTCACGGGTTGTATAATCTGCCATGTGCTGCTCGCATGCATCGAGTCACTGCAGAGCCATAAATGATTTCTGGTCGTCAATTTAGTCAACACTGATCTTTTGAGATTCCTGCAGTGCATTTTCTATAGTCATTAATATAGTAGTCCTGTATGGCCGTATACATCCTGTTGATGATGATTTGTTTTACGTCCTTTATGTCCTTACGTCTTTCCCAATTTTCCTTGTCTCTTCATGACACGTGCTCCACCCTCTTGGTCAGAAAAAGTTTTTCAAATTGGTAATGTCAGTGCAACAGTTTCTGTTGATCCCACCTTGAACTTCATCTGCTATTATTACCTTGAGTAATCAACAGGGATTATGGTTGATTGGATACTTCCAAGAACAAGCCCAAAATACATTTGTTCGTCTCTGCAGTTTAACTGGGTATGTGCAAAGATCATCTTATGCTTTCTTTTCTGAAATATGTTCCCAATGGTCACAGCAGTAGAATGATCAGTCAAAACCCCGCAGTCAACGAAATCGATTTCCCCGCTCAGTTTGTACAGCACGGAAAACAAAAATTGTACCACAGTCACAAAAGCTGGATAAGAACAATTACTTTGAAGTGTCGAGGCTGTTTTTGGTTTAGAATTGGCATTTGTCGAAGTAAAAAAAAACCCTACGATTCATTTTGTTTTACCCCTGGAAATTATTTATCTAGTAAAAAATATTATACATGCATAAAGTGAGCTATGTCTCTGTAATTTTCGTCACACCAAGCCAATACATCAAGAAAGGGGTGTTAACTGACAATATTCCCTATCGGCTCTGGGGCCGTTTGGCTTATTGGTATTATTATTTGACAGTCCTAATGTCAATGATCCAGTTAGAAATATTATTTACAAATGTCCTATTGATTGCACTGCTCTCGTGAACAAACTAACGTCGTAGTTGTCTTTTAATTTATTACAACGAGTTGTCAAATTTTTATGGTCGTTTATTTTCATTTTGTCTACAGGGTGTTTGCAGCGGTCGCATCTTTTTATTTGAAAAAAAGTTAAAACCAGCTCAATACCCTAAGAAAGGCACTGGTCACAAATCTGACGGTTGCTCTCTGGGACTGTAGGAACAGCCGGTTGTATAACGCGTCTATATCCCTCGTTTTGTGTGGGCACATTATTAGTCCAGTAGCTGCAAATCGTTGGATAGAGGTCCCCTGGACACGCATACCCGGAATGAGACACAACATCAACCGGGGCAGGGGGCCCAGCCAGATTTGTCCGGGATTGTTGTTGCAAACCACAACCCTCTATTTTTCTCTGTGGCGTACCCCAAATAGAAAAAGCCATCTTATCTTCTCATGAGCGAATTCATGGTCCGAAAGCGCCTTATGTTCTGCAGTGACGTTTGTCTGTGGTTTGCTGAAGATGAAAGTATATTTAAAAGCCACATTTTGAAAATATGTATTGGTTCAACAAACTGGATTAAACTTAGGCCTAAGTTGCAGTTTCATTCAGGGCTGCAATTGAACGCTTTTCGATTTGTGTTTGAAAAGTGTCAGACTTGACTAAGGAATGACTTTTTTCCATGTCATTTTTGTACCCCACGAATGGCCTCATGAAGCAAGATGTTCTCAGTGTCGTGTTCCCTAGCTATCCCCAAACTTGCCAAAGTCAAAAACATTTTTATCAAGAAGTGCAGACTTTTCCCAATTTATAAGACCTCTAATCCCTTGTCTATCTCAAGAGGTGCCAAGCAACAGCTTTCTTGCACCTGTAACTGCCATTAATCAGGCGGGACCGAAATGTGAGGGCCAATCGCATTTGTTCCACCAAATCACTATACTGCATCGGAAACAGTCTCCTGACGACGGACAGAGCAGACTGTCCGAAACGTTGAGTACCACTGGTTCTTTTCAGTACCCCCACATGCTCAGAAACAGAGACATCTCCATTTTGATACTGCAAACCTATCTAGTTTACTTGCATAGGAAACAAATAACAATTACAGGTGGCAAGATAACGTTTGATTAATCCCCAGAATAATTTATTATTTTCTAGCAAATTTCGATCCATACTGAGCGACAACAGAGTTGATAAACATCCACATCCTTTTCTATATACATCCATTGTCGGTTGTTTTTAATACATTATGGGTTGGTACAATATCCATCGACACCTGTCGACAGGTGACAAATTATCAGTTAGAACTTTTACTGCTCTATCGGCCAATTATCCATTAGTTACCGCATACAGCATCGGTCAAATTGTATATACGCTTTGATCTTTGAAACCTTCGCCATGCAAATCATTAAGACATCATGTAAATTTTTCTGAACTAGTTTGTCGCCGAGGGAAAAGTGTAATGGTAAGCATTTACGCCCAACATGACGTGGTATCTCTCAATGTTCTGTCAATCAGCGATATAACTTGAGTTTCCTTTGCGCGCTGACAGCTGTTTTTGAGGGTTTCATTTTCTACAAAAGCGATTGTGAGCAGTGAAAATTTCATCTCGTCCACCACTTCAGGAACTGAACTTCAAAAAGAGGAAGGTAAAACTGAATTTATGCTTGTATTTTGTAACAACGAAAGATGCAATTTCTTGATTCAGTGGTAATCCGGTCGGCTCCTCGAAGGTTTGTACAGCGTGAATTGAGAATATCCCTATAATGACGTATCACCTATTTTACCGCAGTGCATTGATTCGAAAGAATAATAGTCATCGCTGTATACACTGCTACATAAGCATATCATGAGTACGATTAGTACTGTTTCAAAACGGCAGTGGTTTTGTTGATAAAACCCTGGTTTTGAATCTTCTAGGGAAGTTAGCCTCCACAGGAGGAAATGGCAAGATTGTGTCTGGCATCGTTTTGTATAGTGTACTATTTACGACAAACATTTCTCTCTCCCTCTGGCCACCTCCAGGCGACGCAACTACACGACGCGACGGCACGACGGCTTCCTTGCGTCGTGCCGTTGGGTCGCACCGTCGCCTTCTTGCCATTACTTTTGTACACACACGTCGCGTCGCGTCGTGCCGTCGCTTGTCGCGTCGTGCTGTCTCAGGTATTTTCCATGTTGCATTTTTTGCCGCCTAAACGTCGCCCCTTCCGTCGCCCGTCGCGTCGTACCGTCGTGCGTCGCGTCGTACGCCGTGTCTTGCATCGCGTCGCCTATTACGTCTTGCAAAGTACACGCTATTTACTCTTTGGTGTTGATTTGTTCTTGTTTTTATCTCATCCATTCCTCGATTAGGATTAATTTCTGTCATATTTTATTAAGAAAAAGAAAAAAGAGCAAAAAGAAAATCAGCATATGTAGGAACTTCTCTCTCATAATAAGTGGAAGCCCAGAATTCGTCAGTCTTTAAATCCAGCCAATGATTTCTTTTTAATTTCTTTTCTTGTCGATGCAGTTCCAATTTGTGATAGGACTTTAATCTTATAGATACCGGTATTTCTCCGTGGTCCATCCCGGTAATTTCTAAGTAATACTCCCGATTCCCCGTACAATTTGTCTACAATTGAATGACTGCAAGTTTGACCACGGGAAGTTACCACCGAGCCTGCTCTATAATACAATCAGAATATTCCGTCTTGATTGCAGTTTGATTGCAGCCATTTTTCAAGTGGTAACCCTCAATCTTCTTGGGCATTACCATTTTTCAGTTGTAGTTTTTAGCCATTCTGCTCTCATAGGATAGCTCAAAGACCCAGGCAGTTGATCCTGGCAACAATTTACACAATCTCACCATTTCGGGGGCCAAACAATCTTCTTTTTTCAGAAAAATGCTGGGCTTTTAATGCCAATGAGCTGAGCAGAATTCTTACTTGAATAGTGGACTACATGCACCCAGGACATGGCATTTGCTCTTTGTATGCTCCCGCCATGGGCATGCAGAGCCTTGAACTGACAGCTTTTGAAATATTGTCCAATCGTATAGTATAGATGGTAGAAGAACTAACGCAACGTCACGCCCAAAATTACTTGCTAACATACACGGAAAAAGCTGCCAGATCTAGGCTCTGCATGCCTACGGCGGTAGCGTACAAAGAGCGAATATGTAGCAGGTCTTGTTTCTGTTATTGTTCTTTTTCATGCATATTAACTTTCTAACTTTGTGTTTTCATGAAGAGTGAGTTTTTGAAGAAAAGGTTTGTTTTTTTTAATCAAATTTGATTGGAAAGAGATTCACGACCAACTATCAGCCTTGTCTCCAGGAAATAAATAACATTAGCCACAACGTTGTTTTAACTTTTCCTGCTCTAATTTTGATCTTCCTAATAATTATGTAATAGAATTGATTTTGCTTCCCCCCTTTTTGAAATCCTAACTCCTCCAGAATTTGGGCATACAATTTTTGTGGGTTGCTTGGCAGCGCGTGTGGGCAGTTGGTAGCAGAACTTGCAACCAGCCACAAGAGTCCTTGAGAAGGAGCTGATAACTTCCCTAGCCAGTGACCTTCCACTTCAATTGGCTACTGGACTGAACAGAGACTGTTCTGTTGTCTCTCTGTGATTTCTCCTTCCATCGAACCTGCCATACTAACAAATTCGCCCCTGTCCTGCTCCAAGCAAAAACATTACCCGTGTAAGCCCATTGAACTACATATGCATACGTTGCTGGACAGCAGGTGGCCTGGACCAGAGCCACATGAATTCCGTTCCGAAACCTGATTTAGTCGAGGGGAAGGAAAGACTGTGCTCTTGAACCCTAAACATCAAATAGCCCACATATCTTCTCCATCCATTCAAGTTCTTTTTACTGCAAGCCTTTCTACTGCAAACTCTACAGCTACTTGCCAAGTCAAGACAAGCCAAGTCGTCCCCAACTTCAGCAATAGATCGTCTTCAAGCGAGGCCCTTTATCTATTTTCATTTCATTTCATATCTAGTTTTCACAATGTTTATCTGTTAAATGGAATCCCTGTTTTTTTCTCATTATCAAAAAGATGCTTTCTCTAACGTGAGGGTATTTGTATTTTCGTAAACCATGAGAAAACGTTTCACTATATTAGCTGGAAACGAATCAATTCTCACTGGTTAGCTGATAATAAAAGGCGTAAACTAGTAAACAAATAAACAATGTAAGCAGGTGTCATGATTCTCATATTATGTCCGCTACATTATTTCAAAATCTATTCTAAGATACAATACATCAATCATTAAAACGTGACTGCTAATGTCGCGTCGTGCGTCGTGTCGTGCGTCGCGTCGTGCTTCAGGCGACGTAATAGGCGACGCGATGTACGACACGACGTGCGACGCGACGCACGACGGTACGACGCGACGGGCGACGGAAGGGGCGACGTTTAGGCGGCAAAAAATGCAACAGGAAAGGACCTAGGTAGCACGACGCGACGGGCGACGGGCGACGGCACGACGCGACGCACGACGCGACGCGTCGTGTGTGTACAAAAGTAATGGCAAGAAAGCGACGGTGCGACCCAACGGCACGACGCAAAAGAGCCGTCGCGTTGTGTAGTTGCGTCGCCTGGAGGGAGGCTAAAGAGAGAGAGAAATGTTTGTCGTAAATAGTACACCATAGTTTTGTGATCAAACGCCACCTGTACGTGGGCTGTTTTTCCTTTTCGCGCCAAACGACGAACCCCATTCTATTCAGCCAGACACTGCGGTAAACACAGTCATTACATAAAGGTTAATGCTGGCCTAATCAATGTAGACCGTGTTTTTGTGTTTCGCTTTGTGTGCGCTTAATGTCTGACCAATAATTGTCTGTATTCAGATGGCTACCATTTGGCTCTTTTGCCTTTTTCTGGGCGTGGCTGTTGCCCAGTGGGACGCCTACACCATGCACGATAGGCAGGTCATCGTGCACCTGTTCAATTGGAAATGGACAGATATCGCCAAGGAGTGCGAAAAGTAAGAATTTCGTTTTTTTTCGCCTTCCATTTTTGTTAAAGTCCAACGCACAACCCTATTCCTATTTTACCGGTTCACTAACCTTAACGACAGTGTAAGATATCGATAACATGGAATATACCAGTTAGTAACCGGCAAGAGATTATCGCACAATATCGTGGGATGCCTCGAACAAGGCATTAAAATCCAAAATGTGCACGGCAGGTGTAACGCAACACATTGCATCGCATCCCAGACCCTGCATTGTGGATAGCCTTTTACTTTTCCGATAATGACCAAGAGGTACACTTTACCGCTGCTCTCATCTGATCAGGTGGTATAGAGAAATGAAATAAATTTTGACTTAATTCAAAACAAGTAAAGTTAACCCTAGAAAGTGCCAGGTGTTGAAGATTTGATGAATATCCTGCCCTGTAATTCTTCCAGCTAGCTAAATTTTAAAAAAGAAAACTGCGTGTGTAGGCCCCCCCTATTAGTTTAAAACACGTTCAAAGTATACTAAGCAAGCCCTGTTTTGTACTTCATCGTCCAAAGATTATGTTAAAGTAACATTGAAACTGTTCAAGCGAGACTTTCGAACAGTTTTCTTTCGATGGGTCGTTGAAACGGTGGGAATTTAAAGTCCATAATCTGGCCAAAGAAAAAATGTGTTTAAGCTATATAATAATAATACTATTTTCGAGAATAAATATGACATAGAATCATACAAACGTCCTTTCAGTAGAGAAATTAAGTGAGAAAGTGATTTAGTTGGCAGCTGAATATTTCCTTTATTGAAGTTTAAAGAAACAAAAAAGTAAAGGCATACATAAATAATCATACAAATTTTAAATTCCTTAACCTTAAGCCTTATAATTTTTCATCAAACTTTATCTCCTAGAGAACGCTATGCTGTTTTTGAAAAGGGTGTTATTTACTTTAGTAAGCTAACTGATGTACTAATTTCAAGCATGTTTCCTCGTATCCTCAGCTGGTTAGGGCCTCATGGATTTGCGGGAGTTCAGGTGTCCCCTCCTAACGAACACATCATCTTGAACCCGGTGCGCCAGTGGTACGAGAGGTACCAACCCATCGGGTATGGACTCACCTCACGGAGCGGTAACGAAGCCGAGTTCAAGGATATGGTGAGCCGGTGCTACAAAGTTGGCGTTCGCATCTACGTGGATGCCGTTATTAACCACATGGCGGCCAGCAATCCCGATGGAAACGGAGGTGAGTACTTTAAAAGATGATGTTCCTTTCTCAGTGATAGTGTCTGTCGTCTTGTAAGTCCCTAGGTCCGTGAGGAAACTAATCGGTACAGTTTAAAAGGGAGAAGACCACTCATTGTTTTGAATTTAAGAAAAATGGATGGCTGCTGTTACGCGCAAGTGTTCCTCACAGAGGTGTCACATGTCACGATACCACACCGGCCCCTGGGGTGGGTGACGTTCTTCTGTGTGATATCCATTGTAATATCTAAAAATCAGTCATACATGTAATTGTAAAGTTCGTATAGTTCATATGCATAACATGTTGAAATGTTTGTTTTCTTACACAGTTTTCTTTAGTCAAAATCACAATAGTCGAAGTAGAAGTATTATTTTTGTATATGTGTATTGCTTCGCCCCTAGACTGTAGGACTATTTTTAAAAATTCGCAAATAATTTTCGGTTTTTTGTGATCATGGGTTGTGATAAAATAACTTATCTACGAGAGCACAATAAACAGACAACCTTAGCTGAAGATGAAAAATGGAAAACTTACGTCACAAAAATGAGCTATATGTGTTTGGAATCAATACTCCCATTCCTGTCAAAGTACAGGGGAGCCAATCCCGGGGCGTGCGGTGTATGTATACCTTCTTTTGACCAGGAAGGGCTATTGAATCATTGCCCCACTTTTTCCCGGTGACAAACAAATAAAAGCAGATTATAAGGATTTTCCAAACTTCCCAGAAAGCAAAATGTATTAATTCAATAGCACTGAAACAAGTTTGAAAGTGAAAAAAGCTAAAAATACAGTTTTGATGTATAATAAGATTCATGGGTGTAAGAATACATAAACATATACGTATGCATCTTGAACCAGGACCACTTTGGCAGGGAATATGTTAAACGTCATCATCTCATATGAAGCGCAAAAGACAGACGGACTCCCGTTTTAAGAATGGGAAAATGAGGGGAAAAAATAAAAGTTGCCAAAAAGCAACAGGCATGCGGGGTCAACATTGAAATTCAAGTCAATGTCTCAAGCATAATGTGGGCCTGCGGTTTCCCGTTTACACCAAGCAGCCGTTGCCGCGATGAGTACGCGCACATGTTGAGTCTAAATTGGTCTGTTGCCCCTCTTCCTGTGTTCACAGATTATGATTTTTGGAGAGTGCCCTACTCGAGCTGGGATTTCAATCGGCCGCAAGGTAGATGCAAGACTGTCGGAGACATTGACTACGACGACAAATACTCCATCCGCGATTGCGATGTTTTGGGCCTGAAGGACCTGTGGCCAGAAAAAGACTACGTCCGGAACAAGATTGCCGAGTACCTGAACAAGTTGATCGACATTGGTGTGGCCGGCTTCCGGGTAGATGCTGCCAAACACATGTGGCCGGGCGACCTCAAGGCAATTTACGGCAAACTGAAGAATCTCAATACAAATTTTGGCTTCCCGAGCAACGCCCGGCCCTTCTTCGTCCAGGAGGTAATTGACCGTTCATGGGAACCTGTTTCAGCTTGGGAATACCTGGACATCGGCAGAGTGACCGAGTTCCACTATGGGGAGAAGCTCGCAGAAGGATTCTGGCGGAATAACCTGCTGAGCCATTTCAAGAATTTCGGGGAAGCGTGGGGCTTCCTTCCTGATTACAACTCCTTGGTATTTGTCGACAACCATGACAACCAGAGGGATGGTGGTGTTATTACCCACAAAACCCCGAGGCTGTACAAGATGGCCAACGCCTTCATGCTTGCTCACCCTTATGGCTTTACTCGAGTGATGAGCAGCTTCTTTTTTAACGACCGTGATGAAAGTCCTCCAAAGGAATCCAGTGGAGACATCAAGTCGCCCATCTTCAACCCAGACAATAGCTGCGGTAACGGCTGGGTGTGCGAACACCGCTGGAGACAGATCAAGAACATGGTCGACTTCCGCCGGGTGACAGTGGGTCAGCTCTTTGCCAACTGGTGGGACAACGGCTACTACCAAATCGCGTTCGGCCGTGGTAACAAAGGCTTTATCGTCATCAACAACGAGGACTTCCAACTGAGCCAGACACTGCAAACGGGCTTGCCGTCTGGCACCTATTGCAACATAATCCTGGGAGATTTTGAGAACAACAAATGCACTGGGCCAACGGTCTTCGTTGACGACAACGGATTCGCAAAGTTTGACATCGCGGGCTCAGGCAACGACGACCCCGTTGTGGCAATCCACGTCAATGCCAAGCAGTGAATGCGGGCATAAACATTTCCTTTGTGTATGTCAAAAAGGCCATGATTCATAACAAGTATTTGATTCGCAAGAAATCATTTGCATATACAGTGCTCCATCCATGACGTGCAGATCCAGTCTACTGAATACTTTAACCTCGTTTTCAAATGTCTAATAGAATACCAATAAAATTGTTTAATTGAAATTTTCAAATAAAGACTGCTTCCTTTAAACTCATATCCCTCTTGAGTATCCTTACCCAACTTAATACCGAGTAATATGATAATTTATAAAAGAATAAACATGGAAACTCTTGCTTTGATGGAATAGCTTAGAGTCAGGAACCAACATAAATGAAATTGTAATGAACTTATTGCATTGAAGACGACCAAGATTAATAAAACAGAAATATCATATTGCCGTACTTTTCAGTGATTGGTGATGTTTTTGTTATACATGTCATGATGTTAATTGCTTCTCATGGTTGTCCATCCTTTACACTTTAAAAACAAGTGTTCGTGTTTTAACGCCTGCTAAACGCCTCCCTGGTATGAATGTGTTATAGTGGTGATAATCCAAAGTTAAACACGTTGTAGTGGTTATTTTTTTTAAGCAAATACATGTTGATGTGTTGTTGTGTTGTTGAATTTAAACATAATTACACATGTGGGTATGTTTAACAAGACCCAAAGACACGTTTATCGGGTGGTAACACTTTCTGAAAAGCGAAACATGTTTATTTCCGCAAAGATGCTCAATTTCAAAAGGGCACATGTTTACAATTAACGCATATGCGCGTTTGTAATGCGCGTAGGGGAATAGGACCTTGTACTGATGACCTATTGCAGTGTTTACCGCAGTGCATGATGAAATAGACTGGAGGTCATTGATGCAGTGTGTGACACGGTCATCTTATACCACGGGGAGGTTAAATGGCAGACGTACGCGTCCTGTTCGATAACAAGAAAGTGAAAACACAGTCTTACCGTTTCAAACTGGGTAAAGAATATTCTCCGGAAGATTTGAAACGATGGTAAAACCTGCGTTTTGGAAACACAGATAATCGTACTTATAAGCAGTCCCTTCATGCACTACGGTAAATTCTTTGCCACGTTGCCCGCACAATGTATTGCTCTCAGGGCTGTCCTTTTGTAGGTTGTTCAGTCGAAAAGGAAAAGGCATGTCTCAACCCCCTTCTGTACACCACATAGGAAAAATGCGAATTAAATTGAATGAATGAATTGCAGGGACATTGCGGGCACACTGCAGGAAAAAGCCCACGCACCGAATGATAACTTTTATCGCAAGTTGTCTTATGTTTTTGGTGAGAAACCGGTGGGAAAACTGTGCATGTGCTTTGTTTGGGTAGACATCTTGGCGGTAGCAACTGAAGGGGTTTCTCGCGGATGTATAACCTGTCATGTGCTTTGTTCACATGCAACGGGTCACTGCAGTATCAAAAATAATTTGTCGAGTTGGTCAAGGTAGATCTTTTAGATTCTAGCAGCGCAATTAATATAGGTGTCCTGTATGTTTGTAGACCTTCTTGATGTTCAATCCGATGAAGAATTCTCTGTTTTTTTCCATTTCTTTGGCCATTCATCATACCTGCTATTCACTTCTCGGCATATTTCAGTCGGTGGTGTAAATTTGTGCCAGAAATTTGGGGAAGCGGGGCGAGGAAAGGTGGGGGATGACTTGCTCTGCAATGAAAATTTGAAAAGTGGGGGGGGGGAGGTGAAATAAACAGTAGGCCACCGGTTCTTGATTTAATTTCGAGTCTGACGCCCCGGGGGTTGAATGAAAATAGGGGAAACTTCCAAGAAAAATGGTCCAAAAATAACAAAATGTCTTTGACGTATGCTTTAACGAGAAATAGCTGTTATTTTATTTCTTCATAAACAATAACAACCATAAAATATTTTGCGTAGCTTGTCAGGCCAGAGGTATAATCAACTGCGCCTTCAACAGTATTCACAGGATTTCCGCCCGTTTACTTATACCAAGAGGTTTATTGAAAGTAATTTAAACTTTTAAAATTTAAATTATGGCAATATTGACAGAAATTTCTTTAAGTGCCGAAACAATAAATACATGTTATTTTGCTTCTTTACTAACAAAAACGACCGTAAATTATCATCCATTGCAAGACACACCAGACCAGAAGTAGTAAAATATCCAACCCTACACTCGATTTCTGCCGGAGGTTGAGTAAAAGTAGTTCAAAGTTAATTTAAAAGTAATATCTAACAATTAGTACACGTCTTTGATAAATGCTACAACAAGAAATTGGTGTTTTTTGTATTTATTTATTGACCAAAACGTCAGAAAAATTCTCATAGCATAGCACGTTAGGCCGGAGGTAATAACAAACAGGCCTGGCATACTTGATTTCAGCGCCTGCTTACAGGTCGACAAGGTTCAATAAAAGTAGCTAAAACTTACTTGAATAATTTTCCAAAAATTACAAGATATGTGTAATGAATGCCACAACAAGAATTTTTGTCTCTTTATATATTGACCAAAACGTCAGTATAATGCTACCTCCAGCTACCTCCGACTTTTACGAACACCCCTAGCCTGCAGACCCGAACTTGGAAGAACATCAAAGACTTTTGTCGTAACACGATAAAGTTGCAGCCAAGTTAAGGCTCGTAAAATTCGTGCTGCTGTAGGGTTCATCATCCATATGGCATAAAGTCTCAAGAAAAACGTCGTAGTAACAATAATCCTACTTTGATTACTAATAGAAGCTTTGTCGTGCTTAAATTAAGTGTTGTCACTTAATCCACAACAAGGACATTTGTAGCCCCAATCCATTGTTGTTCATTGTTTTCATTCCCGATAATACAAGGTTCCTGTTATAACAAGGTAATTTGCCATGTGAAAGTCTTAATAACGAGGTCCGACTGTATTTACAGTGCTCGTATGTTTCTTAAATGACTATAAAAATGTCATAGAATTGAATCCATCTTTGACAACAAAATGATTATATGTATTTAGAAATGTTTCAACAATTATTCTAGTTCCATTTCAAAACATTTTTTTCACGAATTTGTAAGTACTGATCCTTGAATATAAAAAACCCAAGGAATCCACTTTCAGGGGGTATGGACACGACATTTCACTCGCATGATTTAAAGCACACGAAATGTTTACGAGATAATTTAATGAAGTAGGCATAGTTATTAACACCAACTTGTGTGCGTCAGGGTTGTCAGTAGTTAGTCCCTGATGATTGGCTTAGAAAACACTTTACTAGATTCTTTCCAGGAGCAACCATTACCGAGAAATCTGTAAATTAATCTGAAAACATATCTGTGCCTGTTGGCAATATTTAAGGGAAGCAATGGTTGAGTCAGCCAAATTTATTTTGAAGGGTGGAATAATTTTGACTTGAACCGATGCACCCAGGCACGTCACTGCGGCCTATCGTCACCCGGTGAGACTTTTTTCCCTTAAATGTGTCCATATTATGACCGCTTTTAGTCATTGTTTCATTATTGCTAAATCCTGAACTGTCGCATTAACATTCACAGACAAGATGTTATAGACATAACACATAAAAACTGCATTGTTTGTCAATACATAGGCTACATACAAGTACATTACGTGAACACTACTTTATTGGTCTGATTCACACAGCATAATGAGCGTTGTTACTATTATTACAACCATACACTTAAACTAAAGGTAGTGGTTGTTACAGCAATAACCACGGAGCTGTTTTGGATTTCAAGTTGTTTAATTGAAAAAAAAAATGACGAAGTATTTTAAAAACACAAGGTGACGTCATCATGACATCATCCATCTGGAATAATTCTTGTATCAGGGTCGTCTTTGTTGGCTGTAACTGAAAACGATTACAGATGCCAAAGTTACCATAATAGTGTTTTGTTAACATACAAAAATTCAATGGGCTAAAAACAAATGCAGAAAAAACTACTGCTTTAAGTGGGTGTCACGTGATTTACGGTCAAACAGAAGAAAAATTATGAAATATTACTGGATATTTTGAACTCTTAACTCAAACTCTTTTTTAACTTTTTTTAACTTTAACTCGAACGAAACGAAAAATTTAGTGTGATTTCTCTTTCCTTCTCATAGTAATCTTGAGCAAAAGAGAAGGCTAGTCAGTCATTAGTTTTTAAGTCGAAAAACATGTACAAAACCTATGGAGAAAAATGCAGCTTTAATCTCATGTCACGTGACAGTTTTATTTTGACAGCCCCACGGGTTGTTGGACTACCTATGCTCCCAATACAAAGTCAATCAGATGTATGAATGCACCAGTCTTTGACATCAGAAAAACGTGTACAAAACCTATGGAGAAAAACTGAATCTTCAAAATTTAATAATAAACCACGTGATGACGTCATCACGACAATGACAATGTTTTTTAAACCGTCTCTTACGGTTGGGCCAAAAATCTTGACCTAACACATATCAAATCAGGTCTATAACAGTGTAAAAGTCTGGCTGTTGGAAAACGTGTACAAACCCCATGGGGAATAATTAAATATTCAAATTCAAAATTAAATCGGCTGATGATGTCATCATGACGTATTTCTTTTAGGACCATCCTTGGATGATAGTCTGCGACGTTTGAGGTCAATCAGATATCAAACTACCAAAGTCGTCTGGTGGAAGAAAACGTGTACAAACCCTATGGGGAAATAGTCTAGAAAAAAAGGAACTAGAGGACATCTGTCTGTTTGCCAACAGAACAGAGGGCTTTTTCGCATTCCTGTCGTTAATTTGAACAACGAACACACTGCGCAAACCAGAGGGTGCAATTATTTCACACCATGGCCATTCGGGTCCAAGGTTCGAACCCCATCAGGCATGTACTTCAGGAAATAACATGCTTTAAAGAGTGCATGTACATGTACTAGGTAATTTAAATCCTCGTCTGATGACGTCATCATTACTTGAGGTAAATCTTGGACTAAAACACTTCTTTTTCTTTTCAACTCGATGAGATATGTACTTCAGGAGATAGAGTGCTTTAAACAGTGAATTTTTATGGTCAAAGGACTTGTCACCAGGTGACGTTATCATCATATGAGGTCACTATTCGGCTAAACCACTTCCCTTTCAAGATACTATCTGCACGGTTTGAACACAATTTGACATATGCTTCAGGAGATATAGAGTTAGAAATAGTGCACCTTTAAAGTCGTGTGGCTTGTCACCTGATGACGTCATTATCACATGAGGTAAAAAATTTGCCGAAAGCACTTCCTTTCCAAGATATAAGCAAGGTTTGAACCCAATCGGACATACACTTCACGAGATATGGTACTTTAAATTGTGCACCTTTAATGTCACATTACTGGTCACAAGATGACGTCATCATCACATTAAGTGAATTGTTGTGTAAAATACTCCCCTTCTAAAATATCTAGAAGG